TAATACATTTTACTGCACAAAACATATGCAATTTTCGTTTGTGCATATTATTTTTTTTTTTTTTTTCCCCCCCCACCTTATTCTCCATATATATATATATATTTTTTTTGCTTCTTATTTTGCGGATTGTATATTCGAAATTGAAATCCATTTTTTTTTTTTTGGACAGCATAATTTAAATACAGGCCAATACCGAACTTCATTATTTTTTCTTTGCTATGCACATTTATACACTGTTCAAATTCTTTCGTGGAATTTGTATTTAATTATTGTATTTCCTGTTATTATTATTACTACTATTATTAATTATTATTGCTATTACTTTTATTATTGTGTTTCCCTTTTTTAATATGGATTATAGTGATTATCGATGAAGCGAGAAACTCCCTGAATTTTTTTTCTGTTTATTTACTTATTAGAACTAGTTGTTTTTTCTTGTTAATATGAATAAATTTATAATGAAATCGACGTAAGTGTCTAAATTCGGGAATCATGTGTGCCGTCCGTGAGCCAATTTAGGAATCCGCAGTGTGCTTAGGGATCGTCAATAATTGTAGATGCAGCATGACGATCATGGAAGGGTGGGGTTACTCGAGCCGCTCATTACCACCATTGCGAGCTCATTTCGCCACTATGGCTCCTAGCGTAGCAAGCTTCTTCTCTAATACTTTCTGCCCCCCTTTTCCTTCTTTTCCTCCCTATAACTGATCGCTGATTGATAGAACTTTATTTCCCTCCTCCCATAAAACAGCACGCGAATTTTAAATAAATAAAATAATACACCTTTGTGAGCACGCAGTGTTGCGGTACCCTCAACATAACCCACTCCCCCCCAGCCGACTAAACTGAGGCCGGTATGCTAGCGCGTGCTCCGTTCACACATCTGCCCTACCATCAGCTCACCCAAAAAGTGTACGTTGTATGCTACATATGTGTCCGTCATAAATGTGATGTGGGCCTCACTGCCACTCCACCTTAATAGCAATGGCAATGGAATGCCAAATATTCTGGCTTCTGTATGACATTTTGGACTTTTTGACATGGCACAACTTAATTAATAAAGTAATAACTTTATTTTATAAGCGGCTTAGGCGCTCAAGAGAAACCTTTCAACGTAATAATCTGTCATTATTTATGTGTACCCCTAATGCTGACATTAAGATCCCTACGCAGTTAAATATATGTTCAAGTGGTATCCAACCTTCAATAGTTTGAGTAAAAATAAGCCTAATTGTTTGTTTTACTCTCTGTATTCTCATAATTAAGTTGATGTTATAGGCACGTCTTCAAGTAAACAAAGCCATTTTAAAATAAGAACACAATCGGTTCGATTAATTAATTCGATTAATTCATTATTGAACAAATGATATATTTATGGACTCTGCCACGAGGTAATGAATTATCCCATTAAAATGGTTTCATCAATTGAATCCCTTTAGAAACTGTTTAATCTAGCTTTAATCAGAACTTCTTTCGATCGTCATTTTTGCACTTCCCCATTTGATTATCATGGAATTTTTGACGGGATGCCCATAAATTACCCATTATTTTTCATGCATGTATAGTATTAGTTAAATCGTATATTTTGTGTGGAGTAAAAAAGGGTTAAAAGATAACTTTGATTAGTGATTAGAGATTATTGCTTTTATCTGCTGCCAGAAAAGCAATCGAAACAAGAGAGAACGCTACAGTCGAGCAAGCCCGACAGTGTAATACCCTGTACCCAGGTAAACTTCCGTCACTGAGTTATATGCGCCCATAGAAGCAGCAAAAAGAGGAAGAAGAAGAGCGAACTTGTTGCTGCAGTTTTGGGGGGGTTGTACTGGCGAGAATTTGTTTCGCTAATAACTTTTCTTAGAATTGACCGAATTGAATAAAATTTTGAAAAACAATTATATATAAATTATGTGTGCAAAGTTTAGTTTAGGTAGCATTTGAAATGTGGACGCTATTGACGAAATTCTGTCGCGGGGGAAGGGGGAGGAAATTAAAAAAAAAAAAATAAACTCGTCCTTACTCGGACCTAGGAGAATCTGGATGCCAACTTTGGTTATTCTAGCTTTTATAGTTTCTGATATCCTCGCGTTCATCCAGACGGACAGACGGACGGACATGTCTAGATCGATTTCTCTCGTCATGCTGATCAAGAATATATATACTTTATGGGGTCGGAGATGCTTCCTTCTGTATGTTACATACTTTGCACAAACCTAATATACCCTTTTTATACCCTGTACCCGTAGGGTACCCGCATATTGGTCGGTTGGTGGGTAGTGGTAGAGGGGTGGAGGTGGGGGTGGAAGTATAGCGGCATATGCGTTTGCAGCGAACGACCGTGATAAGCATAAAAAGGTAAGAGTGCTCGCACACACAGTGCACCGGTGATGTTGTTGACGATGATGCCGCTGCTGAGGAAAGTAACTGAGGCAATAATAATGTCAACTTAAAAGCAACAACAACAACAAGGTAGCAGTAGCAACAACATAAGAAACAGACGCGTCACATAAAGGCAATGACTGAGGAATGAAAAATGCCAAGGCATTGCTGGTGCTGGTGATGTTCTTGTTGTTGGTGCTGTTGCTTAATTTCGTTATGAGCTTCATGCACATTTACGCCATTTTGTAACATTTTCATAATGGCGTCTGCCAGCGCACTCACACATACATAAAATGCGTGTGCCCTGGCGTCTGTCTGTGCCTCTGCCTCCGTGTGACCGAGTGACTGACAACGTCGTTTGGTTTTTTAATGCCGCCATCGTCTGACTGCTGCCTGGCTGCCTTCCGTGCCCCCTTAATGACGCAAATGTTCAATAAAGAGGCTTTTAACGCTTTACACTCTCACACACATACACTTTCACACAGATATAGTGCATAGTGTCTGTTTCTTCGCGGTCCTCACAATCTGCGCCCATTCTGTTCTCTGTGCTGGGACCCCCGTCCCAGCATTACATTACGCACTTTTCGATATTCACTTTGTCTATATTGTTTTGGATTTTGTTTTTGTTTTACTACGCATTTGGAAAAACAATTAATTTGCTTTGCAACAACAACAACCACAACAACAACACAAAATTGGCTCTTGCTGTTAGTTTTATGTGTCTGCAATGTGCTGAAAATTTGTTTTCAATATAAACACAAACGATAAACACACACATTTTACAATTTGTTTACACTACTGGTCCCTGGTGTCGTCGTGCATTTCTAAAATTAAAATTTTAAATATTTTGCTGTATGTGGCGAATCAGTCCTCTTTAATGGCTCTGAATCATTTCCATTTCTTCACACTGAATACGAATGGTCTTATAACGTGTACACACATTGCACATTACAGAAGATGGAATTAATTTCTTTTTCAAATCTGTTACATCGGAATCAGACATTTCTTTTTTAAAGTTGAGCGAAAATGAAATCAAAGTTTCAGTAGATTTTATATAGTTTTCATCTGGAAACTATAAACGCATTGGTAATAAATTCTTGACCAGGCAGCTACTAAATTTTCTTCGTTAAATGTCGTGGTTAAAGATTCATTAGTCATCCTATGCATAATACGTGTGCCAAAAACTTATCGACTGAAATTGTGGACAAAGGTTCCCTATGGCATTTAGAGACCCTCTAAGTTTTTGTTTCATACTTAACATAACATAATTCTTTTAAAGGTAGCGTTACATTGTAATGGGGTTCCCTTACAGTTTACATGTAAAGCTACAAAATACTGCATTTGAAACGTTCGTAATGTGAAAAACAGAAGTTCTGATGCTTGAGGAAGCTTACGCAGCAAAAAGTGAGCTACTTGTCCACTTAATTCTAGGCGATTCTCTGATTTTCTTTTTATTTGCACTCTCTACAGAGGAAGTTAGTGTTCCGATAAGGCTTCAATCGGAATGGTTCTGCTCGTTCTTTTCTGACAAAAGTCCGTTCTTGTTCGTTTTTTGTTTAGACTCGTTTAGCCATATCTTGTTCTTTTTCCAATATTGAACCTATCAACCTGATCACTAACATTTGAATTGTCCAATATGTTTGATATCGAAGTAAATGATGTATATTTTAAGTAGCGTTAGAGTTATAGACATACGAGTATGTATGATAATTTAATCAATAAGAACAAATGAATAATGGAATGCGAATTGCTTCGGTGAATGCGTCCGTTAAATTGAAAACGAAGAGCTCGCAATTGAAATTAGTCACGGGGGCCTTAAAAATAGCTTTGCAGAAAATGTGCCTAAAAATGGAAATTATCTAAAACCAACACATAATAAATGTCATATCATGCTTTAAGCTAAGAACTATTCAAACAACCCCAAGTCTTTATCAACAGACTTTACTATTCACAAGAGACTGTGGAGATACTATCTGTCCCCACTGCCGACACGCTCACGTGTGTTGGCTTTAGGAAAACGTGTGTCATTCAATTATTTTGCTATTAGTTCTGCGTGACACGTCACTTGGCTTGAGGAGCGTGCGTGTAAAGAGGAGATAAGTACAGCAACAAAAATATTCTAGAGCATGATTAACAAGTGCGAGACCACAGCATTGCAGAACTTTTTGGGGTTAGACATAACAAAGCGTTAAGCTGTAGGGGCGTGATAAAATATGTTGGTGATTCTTGCCTTGAAGTGGCAGACAGTCTGCAGGATAACAACCGCAAGATATAAGCAACTATTTACACTATAAAGTGCACTTTCAGCGATTCTTTTGTTACAAACAGGTGACAAATGAGTGCTCATGATGCGCACCAACTACCTAGGCTTAGAAGTGTGAACAAACAGACAGAGAGGCAGCTTGAACATGATTTTAAATTTTCATACAAGCCTCATGCTGGTGGGGAATTGTGGTCTCTTTGCCTTTTTCAATGTATCTTTGCTGTGGTTTTTGCGGCTTACTTGCCAGCATAATCTATCAACTGTAGTTTCGTGTTACGAAAACGAAGCATGTGTACCTGCTTCTCTACCTATTTACTTAATCAATTAACTAATGTGTAGAATTTGCTCTTTCTATTTGCAGGCTAAAGGGCACAATCTGCTTAACTAGTGAGAGTAACAGAAAACTCGACAGCACAGCCAATCAACCAAAAACTTGGCAACTTGACAACTTGAAAGACAATTTTCAAGAAGAAAATTAAAAGCGTGAACCTAAATGAAGCCTGTGTCTGTAACCGTGCCATTATATACCGCAACGCTGGAGCTTAGACGACGGCCAGAAATTAGCCAGCCTACTACTACTGCCAGAGATTTTATCGTCTAAGGACACGTGCACTTATGATAGCAGCCATTACTCAAGAGCGGAAGTAATTGGCGGACCCAGACATATAAAGTATAATTCAGTAGCAAATTGATAGGCGAAGGGTCCAAGCAAAAACACAAACACAAAAACCCCATTAAGCACTATCAACAATAATTGCAAGCAGGAGGCAAAAGGGTTTTTTCGAGAGCGCAAAAGGATTCATTAAAAAACCGCCAACCTGGAACTAATGGAATTAGAGAATATTGTGGCCAATACGGTCTACTTGAAAGCTAGAGAAGGTAAGAGTCACTACAATAAATGTACAGTAAATATTGGCTGTGGAAGAAAAACGTTAAGTTGTAAGTTAAAGTTATTTTAAACTAATTGTGGGTTTAGGGAGGATGGCTTGGATTCTGTATTTAATACTTATAATCTACGTTAAATCAAGAGACATGATTTATAATCAGAACTACAGTTGACTTGTGTTTTTCATGCCATACTCGATTTATTTATAGAAACCATTAAAGCACTTGTATAAATCACAGCTATCTAGGGAATAGGTGTAAGGTATTATTTATTTGGAGGGAAATATCGAATGTTATAATCGCATGCCCACAAATTAGCCCCCACAGAAGTGTTGTCTTGTTGTGTTATTCGAAGAAGGGTCCTATTGATTGGATACTTTTGAAATGAAATAAATTTTGTTGACAATTTGCTGACAAGCAAACTTGAGTTTATGCAGCAATAATTTTAGTTACCCTAGTTTACAATAAAAAAAAAAAAGATGCATAGAAACTATCCTAACAGCCGCATTGCCGCAACATACTTTTGGGCAGCCGCAAATCCTTAGAGTGCTGCGCGTGCTGAAGTATCTATTCTTGTTGGTTCGCACCTTGTGCTCCCGTTTCGCTGTTTAAGTGCCATCGATTTTTTCTGGCTCTACTTATCGATGGTCGCTCACTTTAATTGCACATCATTGTGAGTGCTAAGAGGAGACACCGTGTTACGTGTACTCGTATGTGTCCTGCCATTATCTGCACACCGCTCTGATGAGAAACCATTCCAAGTTCGCCCTCATCTGGGTGACTGACTCACTGACTCGCTGACTGGCTGGCTGGCGCCTGTGCGTTATCTAAAGTTAATGAAGCGTTAAATGTTTGCGCTCAAGCAACTTATTCATTTTCATGCTTCATGTTACAGCTTTAAGTGCTCTATTGCCTTAGTTCAGTCCTTGGACCTGTGCCCGACAGAATCTCGAGTCGCTGTCCGGTAGCTTCTTGTTAGGGTCGTTTGGCCCAGTTGTTGATTTCAGGTTCAGCGAGACTTCTGTTTCGGCTGCTTCTTTTGCGAAGGCCCCGTAATTCCGCTTATTTATAGAAATTTTCTTTGAACTGTTGCTCGACGCACAAACTTTAACAATTAAGTCTCAATAAATTTATGCTGAATTATGCATTAGACTCTTGCTCCCGCTCATATAATTTGAGCTTAAATTGCTATATGCTGGGCGATTTAAAGTCAGAAACAAAATTATGGCCAGCGTAAAGGTCACCTTCAGACAGCGCCAGGTGGCAGTCAATCTACGTAGAGTTGTTGTTGTTGCTGTTGCTGTTGCTATTGGTGCTTCCCTTACTCTTCCTTCCATTGTCACGTTCCACTGACTGAGTGTGTGTGTATGTGTGCGGGTGTGTCTGCGATTTTATTGTTATTGTTGTTGTTGTTGCTGCTTCTGGCATGGCTGCGTGATTACAAACGATTCTTGCTTCTTATATGTGACGCCACTTCTATATACCTACCTATATACCAACATAGAAAATACACTCATGACAGCATCCAAAGATATATATATATATATATATATATATATATATGTTATATACATATCTAATGAGCACTGCACACGCATACATGTAAAAATTGCATGTACAGCGGAAATTGTTTAAAAAAATGTGTGGGAAATTTTCATTTTTTTTTTTTTTTTTTAAGTAAGTGACTGTGGCTGTGAAATCTTATCTAGCCGTTCCACTTCTTCATACAGTTGAGAGCGCACCGGTTTTTTTTTTAACATTAAAATAATTCCGATTGTAATATACACGGCCAATTAACAACTCCCATGGCTTTTGATAAACACGCTCTTTTTGTTGTCAAATTTATCTTTTATTCAGTAACATAGTCTTCATCCTAAACCGCGAAATATTCTTTGTTGCTAGCATCGATGTTTTACGATTGCATTTCATGAAATTTCTGTTTCGTGTTGCTATTGTTTTTCAACCATTAAATAAGCGAATTTTGACCAAACAATTTCTCTTGACTACCACACATAAACATTTTAAAGTAAAAATTCGAATTTTCAAATTAAAATTACGCAACGTCGTCTTTTTCAAACGTTCCTTTAATTAAATATTATTAGAGATTAAATATATAATTTGAATACAAATGTAAGAGAAACAAGGAAATATTTAAAACTAATTTGCAGTTCCGAGAGTAATTACATTTAGGGCAATTCTACTGTGCTCATTGCCTGGTGTGTGTTTTAAATATGCGTGGCATGCTGCCATTCATTGCCAACAATAGTAACAAAAACAACAACCAGTCAGCTGCTCCCAGGCCTATTCAAGAAGCCCCTTATGTGAACTGCCTGCACTCACCCTCCTGGAACTCTCCCACTCTCTGTCTCTCTCATTGTGTGGTGTGGTCTTTAATGTGCCGCGCTACCCACGATGGAGCGTGTTAGCATTTTTACAACGTTCAATCAAATATTTAATTTTAATTTTATTTATTTTATTGCTGGCAATGGCATGGGCGGCAAGTCGTTCTAGTGGCAAGGGTGTTTCGTTCAGTTCGTCATTCAGTCATTCGGCTGGCAATACTCGCTCCTACCGGCGCACATTTTGTGCCTTTGAGGCCCGCTCAACAGATTTAAATGACAAAAACGTGCACAAAATTTCAATTTCAATTCGTCCAAATGTAATATTTCAGAGCAGTTGGGACGCATGGGCGGAGCCATTCCTCGCATATTTGCAATACTTTTACGAGCAAGAAAATAGAAAAAATAAAATACAAACAAAATTCAAGTGGATTTTTGTACAAACATATGTATAATATGTGTTTCTAAACAAGCGCCAAATGCCATTGGCTGAAAAAAAAATGACAGCCTATCTTTAAAAATTTGTTGCGCGTATCTAAGGCTTGGAATACATCGAAGCTTGTAATTAGCTGTTCCTTAAGGCTGACCTGTAAAATATTAGGATATATGTAGTTGTAATATTTCCTAATACCACCTGAAGCATAGACGTTAGCAACAACATCAGCTAAGGCAAGACTGAGTCGAATCTTCGGGGCGCTCATGGTTGATGGCGATTTACAAATATGGATTAACCATGAGATATACGACTGCGTTGGCCAGATAATGTCGCCCGCTTCAGCCAAAAGGGTGTTTGAATGAATGAAATAATGTGAAGTGCAAAAGTATTTCATTCAGTTCACTTGAAGGACAGTACTAGCTTAATACGCACTGACTGCTGTTTCACATACTTTAGAGCTTGGACTCGTAATGTTGAAATATATTGTGGATACTATTTTTGACGCCGAAATCATTTGTATAGGCATTTAGTCACACACGAAAAAGAAAACATAAACAGACATTTGTTTATAGTACAACAAAAGCTAAATATAGGAAAATGTAAAATAAAACAAACTTTTGGCTCTTCATGTATTGCAAGCTTAAAAGAAATTAATTACCATCAGCTTTTAAATATAAAACAGACCATTATGTTTGAAACGATCAGATCAGATCAGATCAATAGGTTGTTATCATTGTGCACAGCCATTGTTAATGGTGGTGGTGCAGACGTCACTGGCGCCTGAGTGCGTCACAGAGCAGCGACATCTGATTGTTCAGTTTTAGTCTGCCCTGTCAGCGCTTGACCTTATCAGGTTAGATTGCATTTCACATGGCCCTGAATGGCATGATGCGTTTCAATTCGCCAAAGGCAATGCTTCTGCATACATACATACATACATACATATAGTATGTACTTGTAATCTACGAGTACACACGGACTCGAGAACTGGCCACGCCCCATTTAAATGCACTTTTACTGCGCCATAAACTTGCCTAATTGAATGAATTTGTTTGCTACTGATATGCCACTGTTAAGTGCGTTTACTCACCGACTTTTGCTCACGCTACTGTGTGTGTGTACACTATACCCCCAGAGGTATGGTAATGCTAGAAGCTGCCCAAAATGTATGTACTTAGTAGTTGAATATTAAAGAGATGCATTGCTCTTTCTTCTGATCTGGTTGTTGATATATCGTATTATCGGAAATTGTGCAGATTTTAAACAATTATATCGCTGCAACACAAAATGAGTATTCTCACTATTACAAAATCGTTCACTTATATACAGATGAGTTGGTATAATCTGGTCCACATGAGGCGAAATGTTGACTTGCCCTTTAACGGTACTAAGGATATCATCCGTTAGATACATTATATTGATAATATTCTCTATGGAGAGGCTTTTGCTATCACTTTTAAAATATTCAAAGATTTTTTATGTGGAAAATTTTAAAATGGGCTGTCTCAAACATTTTTTTTTTTTGCAGCTAAAATGTTATTATTTTTTATGATATATGTGTCCTCCAAATCTTAACGAAAACATATTATTTCTTGCAAAATGTTTGAAAAGAGTGCCTAATATTGATACCAACCAATGGACTAATTATATAATACACATCTGCCATAAGAACACTCAGATTGAAAAATAATTTTAATTTTTTACACCATATTCCAATCGATCCCTGGCATCCAAAATCCAAGTTTGCGGATGAGATTTATTATTATTATTATTTATTATCTTAAGCACAACTCAATGCCCGACCATGACACTTTGGCTTTAGTATACAAGTATAAAAGAGTCATAATTCCGCAGTCGATAGACGTTGTTATCTCCACAGAAGGCACCATATGAGGACAAGTCTAACAAAGGGTATTATACAGTCGAACGTTTTAGATTCCAAAGCACTAACTATTTAATCTTTAGCGTTGGTAGCATTTGTGAAGTTGAGAAAATGATGTTGGAATTTGGATCATCTTTCTCGTTTTCATATGCTATGCGCTCGACTGCGCATTAAAAAAATGACGACGCATTTGAATGGAAGACTGTAAAAACGGCGAGGCAGCCGATATTTTTGCGATGCTTGCCACAAATGCAGTCGACGCACATAAATTTATCCTTATTGCGCTGCCATAATGCTGATTATGCTGAAGCTCCAAACCCGCCACTGTTGGTGTTGT